GGCTCGGCGGCGCTCGGCGTCAAGGGCGGGGTCCCCTCGGGGTCGCGAACCCGCTGGTCCCCGAGGAGACGCGGCAGCGCCGGTGCGCGGCGGGAGGAGCGGCCCGGCCCGGCGCCGCTGTCTGCAGTCCGCCTGTTTGCGGGACTAGCCGCAGGCAGCTCAGACAGCTGCGACCGTGGCTGCAGGAGGAAATGGTTTTCTGTGGGCTGGGATGAAAGGCAGGGCAGACGTGGATTTTTACCAGTGGAGGGTGGTGAGCGCCGGCCCCAGCCGAGGGAGGCCGATGTGGGGAAGATTAGGGAAAGGCGTCGCAGTCCTGAATAAGATGGGTGAGATGAGTAGAAAGACAGCTCCTCTTCAATATTTATTTTGGCGTTTCCTTATAACAAAAAGATGTGTGAGCGTGACTGTGGCTTTGCTACTTCTTTTAGGAGAAAATGAAAACTGGGATTTTCTCTCTAGAAGGTAAATAAGGAGAATGAAAATGGTGGAAATTTACAGTTTTCAGTGATTCTCTCCCAAGATGAATGATTAATTAGCCTCTTTCTCTCTCTGCTATGCAATGCTTTTGGCTATACTGTATACGATTCTTTTTGAACATTTGTTTCCCTGCCTCCTTACGCTATTCATTGGATATGGGAAATATTCCTATTGAGGAATCTTGCTGTACGATATTACCTGACCTATTACAAAGGAAGAAAATTGTTTAAAAAAAGAAAAAGGAACCCCAAATGAACATTTAAAAAATAATGCTCATTACTCCCAGCACACTGGAGGCCGAGGCAGGAGGATGACTGCGGGTTTGAGGCTAGCCTCGGCTACGTAGTTCAAGGCCAGTCTGACTGCGTAGTGAGACCCTGTCTCAAAAAAAAAAAAAAAAAAAGAAATAAAGCTTATCGCACCTGTGTTACTCTTGCTGTAAAGGTTCTGATACTCCTAAGGTCTGTCTTGTGAGGTGAATCAGTGTTTAAGGCTGTGGGTATCCTTAGGGATCGTCTAATGTCGACATCCTCATTTTATCCATGGGAAAGAAATGGAGGCTTGAAACAGTAAATACCTTGCAACTTTAGTAAAAACTAGCTTTATTATTAAAACAAATCAAAAAATTTTATTGTTTTATATATACCAGTTGTTTCTAATACCGTGTTACAAGGTTATGAAGTATATCGTGGACTGTTACATTCTTTCAGATGTTATAGGGAATACTACCCATTAAAGCTAAAATACCTGAGTGTTACAGAACTCAAATTTTTGCAACTGTTAGCCAGGACCCTTGTGTCGGCAAGTGGCTCCTTGGTCCTCCTCCCTTTCCTTTCTTAGAAACAAAAATAAAGGTTAAAAAAAAAAAATGCAATGTGGGCAAATTTTCATTTCTGAAATAAAGCAAAAATTACTGTACAAAAATAAAACCAAATGAATTTTATATAAAATTGATGGGTATGCTGGGTGTGGTGCTGCGCACCTGTAATCCCAGCACTCAGAAAACTGAGGCAGGTCGTTCGAGGTCAGCTTGAACTACATAGCAAGACCTGCCTCACACCCCACCCCCAAAAATGGTGAATGCGTGACCAGAGTTCAATTCCTTTCTTTTTTTTTTTTTTTTTTTCAATCAAGGAAAGGTTTATTTAGCTCACAATCTGTGGAGGTTTCAGTCCATACTCTGCTGGCTGTAAGGCAGGGTTGCACATGGCAGAGGGCAACCGTTCATAGAGACAGAAGATAGCAAAAGCCGGGTTCATATTCCTGTAACAGCTGAATTAGATAGATAGAGGTGAATTCTTTTTTTTTGAGACAGGGTCTCCCTATGCAGTTCAGGCTGGCCTTGAGCTCACTTTGTACCCCAGGCTGGTTTCGAACTCACAACGATCCTCCTGCTTCAGCCTCCTGAGTGCTGGGATTGCATGTGCCTCCACGTCCGGCAGATGTGGATTCTTAATGTACGTGTTAAGGAATATTTTAAGTAAATTAAATAATAAATGTATTACTTCACTCTTGTCAGTGGCATCTCAAATTTTAGATGGAGTTTCTAGCTTTGCCTTCTTCTCTGGAAAAATAAAAATAAAGATATTTTCTAACCAGTGTACACCAGTTTGTAATCTTCATAACTTGGTCTTCCTAATCAGAATTGTCCCATAGTCACTGTTTATCATATTTTCCATAATGAAAGTGCTTAATTCATAGCAATTAAAATGATCTGAAATGACCTTGTCAAGTTTTTTGTTGTTGTTTGGTTTTATTTTTTGGGGTGGGAGCTTCTTGTTTGATTGTTTGATCCACCTGAATGTTACTTCTTTATTCGATGTGTTCCAGTGTCAAGAACAGTGGCTGGCATATAGCGGGCAGTTAATATTTGTTGGATGAATAAATACTATTTAGGATACCAAGGAGAGCAAAAGAAATGTAGTTTTTGGTCCCTTGTCCCTTATTTCTGTTGGTCCTGGGAATGGAAACCAGGCCCTTGAGCATGCTATGCAAGTGCTGTACCACGCAGCCACCCTCCACCCCTTCTGAGTTGGGCTTTATTGAGTAGCCAGTAGGGGCACACAACAGACACAGAGGAGGTGGGTTAACTTTGGCTATCCGTTCAACAAAACATTTGTTTAGTGCTTGCTAGGTACTAAGGGGTTTACAAAGCCGAGGAAAACATGGGACTAATACTGTTGTGACAAATGAACCATTCTGGGGGATTTTTCCCTGTCACCTCCCCAACACATTTAGGATATTCTCAGTATATTGCACTTATGTGTATTGGTCTTGCCCAGCTAGATTGTAGTTTTTTTTTCCCCTCTTTTATAGTTCTTTTTTTGTTCTGTCTGTCTCTTTTTTGTTGAGACAGGTTCTTGCAATGTAGTTCAGGCTGGCCTTGAACTTGCTATGTAGCCCAGGCTAGCCTGAAACTTGCAGCAATCCTTCTGCTGTTGCTTCCAGTTACAGGCATGTGCCACCACATCCTGCCCTTTCCCCTTTCCCTTTTCCCCGTTCCCCTTTCCCATCTCCCTGTCTCCCTCCCTCTGTCCCTGTCCTGTGCTAGGGGTGGAATCCAGGGCCTCATGTACTCTAGGCAAGTGCTGTACCACTGAGCTGCACCTCAGTCCGTGAGCATAAAATTTTTTGGGGAGAGAGTAGGACTTTGGCTGCTTCTTATGCCTAGCCTCAGTACATGGCTTAGTGCCTGGCACCCAGGTGATGCTGGGTGAATGACTAAAGGCTAACAGTTAAGAGAATGGACTCTGGAATTAAGCTTCTGGGATAAAATTCAGACTTATTTGTGCCTCAGTTTCTTTATCTATAAAGTGGGTAATAGACCAGGCAGAGTGGGCCACACCCATGATCCTAGCACTCAGGAGACTGAGGCGGGAGAATGGGCTACAAGTTTGAGGCCATCCTGAACTACATAGTGAGACCCTGTCTTTTATTTTTATTTTTATTTTTTTTATTTTAAAGAATAAAAGAAGGATAACATAATAATAGGGGGGACTTAGCAAATTACAGACAAAATGGTAGGAAATTATCAATGGTTATCATTTTACATATTATTATCTACAAAATAGTTTCTCAGGAAAACAAATAGACAAATAATAGTAAGTTAGAGACAAAAGAGGTAGGAGATTTTCAAGAGTTGTTGTACTATACTTTGGTATCTTCAAAGTGGCTTCTAAAGAAAATAAATAGAGCTATACATGAGTGACCTATTGAAAAATCATTAAATATTCTCAATGGTTGTTGTAGGAAACACATAATAATAAACAGACATCCATTTATGAAATAGGATAGGAACATTACAAACTTTACACAGTTATGGATAGATTAGTAGGAAAATATCAATGGCTGCTGTAATACGTGGTGGTATCTTCAAAGTGGTTTCTCAGGAAGACAGAGATATGCAAGAAGGATCTAATAAGTAGTTACAGCCTAAGGGTTGTCAAAAATAGCATATTACCTCCTCACCAGTGACTCCTTTCACTGAGATATGATGGCTGGAAGGAAGGCCAGGATTGAAAAGAAGGACCGAGAGACTTGCACCTGTGTCTAGCAACAGGCTGTTTTCTTGTTCCTCCATAGTCATGATTACCCAGGGCTCCTCGATGGAGATGATGATCTGGCCAGAGGGAGAAGGCAGACCATGCCCCAAGCCCTCTCATTCTTGTTGGACTAACTGGTAGGATGGGTCTGAGCTCTGGGGCCTCCACCTCAGAGGGCAGACCGATCTCCAGTGGTCTCCTTTGCATCCAGGGCATGGCCCATGGGGCCTCTTAGGGCAGTTCCTCTTGAGGTGGCCTGGCTTTTAACAGTGGTAGCAGATGAATGTAGTTGTCGAGTTCTTCTTGGAGCTGAGACCCTGTCTTTTAAAAAAAAAAAAAGTGTAGGTGATAGTAGCATCTGTCTTGGGTTTTATCGGTATTAGATGAGGGAATCCAATGTTAGCATCTAGCACAGTTCCTGGCACACAGTAAATTTAGTATTATCATTATGAAAAGATCCACAACTGTCAATATGAGTATCAGGATTTGGGAAGAGACAGTCTTCCTCTGTCCTGTGGGACCCTAGTTTTGGCAGAGAAAGTTGAATGAGTGAGTTGTTTTTTGTTGTTTTTTTTTTTTTTTGTAGTACCGGGGATTGAACTCACAACCTTCCGTTTGCCAGGCAGGCGCTTATACTACTGAGCTATATCCTCAGGCCTTAGAGTGAGTTCTTGGAGGAAGTGCAAATGAATTGGAAAATGGAGGAATCAAACTGAAGAACATACAGACAAATTGATAATCAGATCACAACTTCTGTTTCCACCTCTGCTCATTTCTTTACTTTACTTTTTCTTTTGCCAGGAATGGAACTCAGGACCTTGTGCTTGCCAGGCAGGTGCTTGTGTTACTGAGCTATATCCCCAGCCCTCATTTTTTTACTCCCCCCTCCACCCTGTACCAGGAATCAAACTCATGACCTCACACTTGCAAAAAGGCAGATGCTGTACCGCTGAGCTAAATCCCCAGCCCTTTACTTTTGATTTCTAATTTTTTCCCTCTGTCATTTTCTCGCTCTATCTAGTGAAGAGGTTGTAAGAGAAAGTAGAATTCAGTTTTTGTGTCATCTGAGTATGTCACTGCAGCATATGACGTTTCAGTCATGTAAATCCATGCTGTAGTCCAGAGTTTATTCCTGTTCACTGAAGTTTTGTCAGTGTGTTACAAGTGCTCAGGCATTCCAAGATGCACTGTTGGCTTTTCTTGTTCTTTCCTAGCCATTACCAATTTCTTTCATGTTCTTTTTATGTGAAATCGGGCCATGACACATGAAATGTATTACAAGTTGAGAAATCATCTAGATTGAAGCAATCCTTTTTTTAAATTTGGAGCCTTTCTATCTTTCCTTCTTTTTCTTCCTCTCTCCCTCCCTCCCTTCCTCCGCCCCACCTTTTTTTTTTTAGAGACAAGGTCTTGCTCTGCAGTTCAGGCTGGCCTTGAACTTACTTTGTAGCCCAGGCTGGGCTCAAACTGTGATCCTCTTGCCTCAGCCTCCTGAGTGCTGGGATTATAGGCGTGTACCACCACGCCTGGCTTTTTTCCCTTCTGTCCCCTCTCTTCCCCCTCCACTTTCCCTCTCCTCCCACGATAAATGCATGTTTAACTTTGTGAGAAGTTACCAAACATTTTTCCAGAGTGGTGGCACTTAATATTTTATATTCTCACCATCAGTGTTTGAGAATTTTCATCCTTGTCAGTGATTGCTATTGTCTTTACAACTGTCGCCATTCTGGTAGATGGTAGTGTCTAGTATCTAATGGCTTTAATTTGTGCTTGCACCTCTTCAGTATTTTTTCATTTTTTTTATGTATCATTGGTGATGTTTCCAAATCTTTTAATTGTGTTAGTTGTCTTCTTATTACTGAGTTTCGAGTGGTCTTCAAATATTTATCAAAATGTGACTTGCAAATATTTTCTCACAGTCTGTGGCTTTGTCCTTTACTGTCTCTCCCGTGTTTTTTTTTTTTTTTTTTTTTTGTCCTTTACTCTCTTAATATGTTTTAAGGAGCAGAAGTTCTTAATTTTGAAGTAATATAATTTGTCAATTTGTGTGTGTTTGTGTGTATGTGTGTGTAGACTGTAGCTTTGGTGTCCTACCTAACAAGAAAAAGTTTTGCAGGTTCTAGGTTATGAACCCAGCACCTCACACCTGCTAGGCAAACATTCTACCACTGAGCTGTGTCCCTATCCCTATCTGAGAAATCTTTTTTGTCTAATACAGGCTCATAAAGATTTTCCCTTAATTTTTCTTCTAGAAGTTCTATAATTTTTTATTGTACTTCTTAATTTTGAATTAATTTTTGCATATCACGTGAGTTATGATCTAGGTTTTTTTTTTCTTTTGCATTTCAGTGTCCAGTCTGTTGTGTTTCCCCTCTGGGAGGGATTGAATCCAGAGGTTTTGAACTGAGTGACATCCCTAGCCCCCTTTTTTTTTTTGAGACAGTATGTCACTAAGTCACTAAATTACCCAGGCAGGGTACAAATTTGCAATCTTTCTGCCTTACCCTCCCAGAATGCTGAGATTATGGGGATATGCCACCATACCTGGCTTTGTTCTTTTTCATAATTCTTTTAGTTCATTTGTTTATATAAACTCTATTATTATTTTTTTTTTTTTGGTTTTGGTTTTTCTCCGGTACCGGGAATCGAACTCACGACCTTGCGCTTGCCAGGCAGGCGCTTTTGCCGCTGAGCTAAATCCCCAGCCCTTATATAAACTCTAGAATCAGCTTTTTGATTTCTTTTTAAAAACCTGGGATTACAGCCAGCCGTGGTGACGCACACACTTGGGAGGCTGAGGCAGGCGGATTGCTGCAAGTTTGAGACCAGGCTGGGCTACAAAGTGAGCTCAAGGCCAGCCTGAACTACATAGGGAGACCTGTCTCAAAAAGACAAAACCAAAACAAAACAAAACCTGGGATTGGAATTGCATTGAATCTACACAGATCAATTTTGGAAGGATTGACACCTTAAATTTACTTTTAGTATTTTAGTTTCTTTGCTGTATTGCAACATGAATATCATTTTCTTTTTTTTTTTTTCCGGCACTGGGAATCGAGCTCACGACCTTGCGCTTGCCAGGCAGGCGCTGTGCTGCTGAGCTAACTCCCCAGCCCCGACATGAATATCATTCGTTTCAGAAGTAAGCAACCCTATGATAAGGAGAGTTGTGCATAGTTTATCAAGGTTGCAGAATACAAAGTAGATTTAGAAAAGTTGTATTTTTGTATACTAGCAATGACCAATTAGAAGGTGAAATTTGTTTTTGCTTTTTTGAGACAGAGTGTTGCTGTGTCATCTAGGCTGGCCTTGAACTTACTGTGTTGGCCAAACTGGCCTTGAACTTCTGGCAGTCTTCCTGCCTCAGCCTCCTGAGTACTGGGATTATATGCATGTGCCACTATGCCTGCTAGAAGGTGAAATTTATTTTATTTTTTTTTATTTTTTGTCTTTTGAGACAGGCTCTCACTGTGCAGTTCAAGCTGGCCTTGAACTCACTTTGTAGCCCAGGCTGGCCTCAAACTTGTAGTGATCCTCCTGCCTCAGCCTAGAAGGTGAAATTTATTTATTTATTTTGGTACTGGGAATCAAACTCAGGACCTTGTGCTTGCCAGGTGGGCACTTGTGCCACTGAGCTATATAGAGTTGGAGATGTAGCTTAATAGTAGAGGACTTGCCTACCATGGCCCTGGCTTTTATCCAGCACCTTAAGAAAATAAATAAATACTTAGGCATATCTCTAGCAATACATTCTAGATTTATATTTTGAAAACTAGAAGACCCTGACAAAAGAAGTCAAAGAAGGACTAAATAAATTGATGATTATACCATATTCATGGATTGAAATAATGCCATGTTCATTTTTACTTTTTTGTTTTTTTTTGTTTTTTTTCCGGTACCAGGAATCGAACTCACGACCTTGTGCTTGCCAGGCAGGCGCTGTGCCACTGAGCTAAATCCCCAGCCCCCATTTTTACTTTTTTGTAATGTCTGTTCAAGTGCCTTGAACTTCACATCTTCCTCATCAGCACTTAGTATTGTCTGTTGTTTCTTTTTCCTTTATTTCTTGAGACAGGGTCTTGCTGTTACTCAGGCTGGTGTGATCCTTCTCACCTCAGCCTTTTTTTTTTTTGGTACCAGGAATTGAACTCAGGACCTTGCATTTGCCAGGCAGGCGCTTATGCCACTGAGCTATATCCCTGGCCCTTACCTCAGCCTTTTGCATAGGCATGTTATTACCATAGGCATCTCATTGCTACCGGCTTATCTGATTCTTTTATTGTAGCCATTCTAGTGGTTATCTCATT